TCACTAAACAACCACTGAATTCGCAGATTTTCGAAATCAAATAACAGAATTGGACTGACAGAAGTTACACCAGATATTTGATTTCTTCAAAAGAATGATAAAGATGCCTACAACGCAGGTGTCCCTACTGTTAAAAACTTAAAATTTCACGTCGATAATTTTCAGATTTCAAAATAATGTAATATCTTTTCAATATTGAATCGTCCTATCTTATTTCACAGAAAAAAATAGTGTTTTAAACACGGGAAAAATATTAGATTTTAGCTCACGGTTTTTTGTCTTCCTCCGCTACGCGTCGTGAGACAAAATTAAACCGTAATAGGTAGACAACATAACTCACACCATTCCTAACTACGAATTCCGTTCTGAAGAGATGCCTTCCGAGAGAAATGCAATCGAGATACTTGTAACAGTTATGACAAATTTGATGAAAAATTCCGAGATGATCCACAAGAACGAAACATTAGTACCTGCGTACTCGCACCGACTGATATTATAGATATGGAAAATTCTGAAAACTCATGAAAAGTCATCAGGGCGGCCTGGTAACTGTTTTGGAGAGAACTCATCGAAATGACTCACACAATTATCAATACTATGATAGCTTTCCTGTGGAAAATTTACTCGAAGAAGAATATTATCTTCCGAATCGAAAATTCAAGTGCTGAACTCCCTCAATTGAAATCAAAACAAGATAACTTGGAGTTTCTTACCCTCGTAGATACGAGTAGCAGAATTTGTTGTTTCTGATTGGGAGCACACGAATAGATTTCAGTAATCCTAGGATTACTCACTCATTTTATCATCAGCGGTGTTCGAGTTTTCAGTTAATAACTTATTTATCCGTGATTATCGGAATCGATTTCCTGAGCATGTGGTAGATTCGATTCGGAAAAAGGAGAGTTGTTCTTTGCTTGGATGGTTCGACTTTTTAAATAAATGATTTGAATTTGAATCACACCTTAGTAGAACTTTCAACTCAAACCATGTCTATAATGATCATTTTATACATAAATAATAATTGACGACATAATTCGATCAAGAAATTAACTGGAATATTTCATTTCTGGACATATAATAGTACCTTCTGAAAACGGACCCCCTTATAACGTGAAAACTCATCTCGCCATAGTTAAAAGAAAATACCAAACGCCCGACGGAGACTCTTGCAACTGATATATTAATTCTTTCAACTGTGATCTCGCGCTAATTCACTGTCAGAAATCATGTATCATTCATCTCTGTCTGGAAAAGTCTTGTTTCAGTATTAGGGTTTTGACGTCACATCGTCGCCTCGTTTTCAGAAGTCCAAAAAATCGGGGATTTCGAATTTTTTTTATAAAACGTAGGGAGCTCACTTCAAGAAACGGTTTGCGGTGGTGAGCTAGTTTGGGTGAGTTCTATCGAATTAGGAGATAAAATTTTCTTCTGATATGAGCCCATTAAATAATTCGGCGCCCTCCAATATAAAGCCATACCCTGTCCATGAAGCAGCGGTTCAAGCTGAAATTGATGAGATTGTCAAATGGGGGATAATTGAAAGAAGTGCAATTTCGTACGCGAGTCCCCTTATACGTACAGTTAAGAGAGACGAATCTGTGCGATTGTTTTTAGACTCACGACATCCAAATAGTGTTATAGAAAACGATGCAGAAATTTCTCGAAATATCGAAGATATAATGAAGAATGAAAATGATGTTCAATTCATGTCAAGTATCGATTTAACTTGTTTCTATTGACAAGTGCCTATCAACCAGTAACATCAACGATATACGGGATTCCGATTTGGTACTAGGAGTTATATTCTTGTGGTTCTACCTCATGATTTGGAAACAGCAGTAGCTAGCTTCACACCATGTTTTGACTAAATTACAGGCACTCCTTTCGAAACGTTCGTTCACGTGAAAGGGAATTGGGATTTTTGGGATATATCTTGAATTCGTCAAGACTGCGTTCAGATTCAACGAGAATCCAAACGATACGGGACTTTTCCAAACCCCAAGATGTGAAAGATCTACAAGCCTTTCTGGGTTTGGATTATTATGATCTTTGATTCCATGGGAAATTCCCCACTGGTCCTGTGCCACTCACGAGTCTACTGGTATTGGGGACAAGCCCTGCAAGACAAGGCATTTCTAGACATGAAACAATCTACTTTGTCGCGAAGTTTCATCATTCCACTAATATTACGTACAAGATTCTTATGTACAGAACGATGCAAGTAATATGGCTATAGCGACGGTTCCTGCCTAGATTATACGCGAGAAAGAGCGTTTCATAGCTTATGCGAGTTGCCCATTGTTGGACCGGGAATGGATATATGCTTTACCAGAGGAATAACCTCTTGGAATTTCATTCGCATTACAAAGATGGCACGTTCACATGTTAAGTTGCGATTTTGTCATTCATTCTGACCACAAAAGGTGCTCTCGTACCTAAACTCGTGCCGTCTCTCATCTTAACGCATCACCCGCTGGGTACTTCCTTTACAGGATTACTCATTCACAATCCAGTATTCTCCCTAAAGGAAAAATTTCATCTTCGATATTCTGTCAAGGCCCCTTCCTCTGATCTCGATAGAAATGAGTTCGCTGAAGAAGGCATGTGCGTGGCACAGCCTGAAGATCCTAGGCTGCTTCCGAAATTCGAATCAATCAGAAAAGGAAGTTCAGGCTGTTTTCTCGTACGTGGCGAATTGCTATTCATGAAGAATGGAAGGTGTGATTAACTATTCTTCAAGTATGTGTTTAACGGACAGAGAGGCATGGAAGGAAGGACCTTCTATCAATGGAGACATTGCTGTCTATACGGACGGCTCCGAAACTGAGGAAGAATCAGGAGCGGTGTTTATGACGCCAAGTCAAAGACAAGAATCTCACTAAGCTCAGGTGAATACGCGACGGTGTTTCAGGTAGAAGTTATTGCAATACATCATTGCGTGAAAGAATCTATTCAGATAGCCAGGCGACCATAAAAGCAGTCAAATCTTTGCGAGTAAACTCACAACTAGTATAAGACTGCATACAAATCCTGAATGAACTGGGCAGTCAGAACAGACTGACTCTAGCATGGGTACCAGCACATATAGGGTACGAGGGCAATGAAGAGGCAGGCTCACTTGCCCGAGCAAGAGCAAACGAAGCTCTGAATGGCCCAGTACCCCTATGTGGTATTGCGAAAGATATACAAAAGACCAGTATCGAATCATGGATGCAAACCAAATCTCAAGAATGGTGGAACAGCTCGCCAGGTTTTAGACAGGCAGAAGAGTTTATTGAAAAAACATCGCTATCATTCACAGAATATCTATTGAGCCAGAAACGAAGTTCAACTAGAATACTAGTGGAACTTTCCACAGGGCATTGTAGGCACAATAAACACATGAGTACGATAGGTTTGACTGAAGAACTGCTGTGCAGGATCTGTCAGGAAGAAGAGGAAGCAGAAGTACACATACTTTGCCACTGTGAGGGCTTGTCAAGACAAAAACCAGAAGCTCAAAGATACACAGGGGATCTGAAAGCTGACCTATGGAGTCTCATAGAGACGGCGGGGCTAGCCGAAGAACTCAAATCGATTTTGAGGGCAGACACAATAGATCTGAAAAGGTCGCGATGTGGAGGCAGATAGCTCCAAGGCCCGATTCTGTATCTAATCTGATCTTACTATTCTTTTCTTCATGAATAATTTCAGAGAATTCGTGAAGTTCTACCATGAGTTTAATGGCCATTTCGCCAATATTGAAGCTTGCTGTTCAATGAGGGCGCTTCAATGATTATATTGAACGATTCATGGAAGCGTGTGGAATGTGTCGAAAGGCGATTGTGTTACGTCGGAACGACCAAACGATTTGAATTCCGTCGATCTCATCGGTCCTCTACCTGAGTCAGGTGGTGAAATCACTTATAATTTTGTCATTGTGGATATTATTCTCAAACTATCTCTCTATCTACTGAAGATTGCTACCACTGCCACCTTGCTCGATCGTTTGACGAAGTGATATTCTCCACAACCTTCTCAAATTTCGAGTGATCAAGGGACCCAAGTGACCTCTCTCAAATAGGGTGATACTCCTGGAGGACCTGGAGGTTATATACTCGTCATCGCAACATCCACAGGGTAATCCCGTGAAAAGAGATAGGTGCGAGTTAGGAAGGCTATTGAGAACTTATTGTCATCATCAGCATTCGCGATGGGCTTTCGGGATACCAAATGTCTTGAAATTATTGGATGAAATGGCTCACGAGTCCACCAGGTTTTCTCTCCACACTGTAGAACAGTAATTTGAGTGGATTCTCAACTCGAGTTTTTCTGTCAATGACAATTTCCACAACGAATTTGATCCAATCCACTCATGAATCACCATTTTTCACAGTCAAGTAGGGTGGTATTTCAACTCAATCTTTCGTCGACCGAAATCGACACTTTATTGCGTGGACCTTGAGTGATATTCCACTCAATTTCCATTTCAGATCATTTGGAACAATTCCAAATCTCCTGTGAGGCGTACACTGAATTATTTTTTGCCGAATGAAATTTACTATAGGAGAAAAAGCTCATGTTGTTAAACAAGGGCCTGTAGAAAAATAGGAAGGTTATGAGCACTTGAACCTACGTACTAATTGTTTGTGATTCAGATATGGGAAGAGGTACTTCTCATACATGCCATTTGGAGAAATTTATTTCGCCCCTGCCCTCGAGTACGAAGTTCCCTACAGGTGGACTCTGCAGATTACTTACCTGTGAGTACCTACCTGTAATTGAGCGAACACGCGGTCGTTTTTTCTGTTTCTGCTTTCTGCTTGCTCCGCACTTATTGTATTATTGTATCTATATATGTTATAAAAAACATCTAATTCTGCACCATAGCTTTCTGGCAATCTCGGCGACCTCTGCTACCTAGAACCTGTTCAGGTATTTAGCATAATATCATTTTATAGGCTTGAGGCTGATGACTTCGTGAGATATTTTCTGCTAGGTGAATAATGTATTAATTCTAGGGATGAATTCTTGCTCAAAAATAGAGTTCAAAAAACGTGACTGGTACGTTGTTGATCAAGTTCTAGCCGAATTCCACCTAGTCAAAACTCCTGAAAGTCTTATTCTGCTACAACCGTGAGTGTGTATTACATTAAATCAAAAACAATATGCATTGTTTCGATATTATAACGGAACAGACTTTCAAATGGTCAGAATATGATTTATATACAAAGGTATAGGTATTTGAGTTATGAAAAAATATAACAAACAAAAACAAATAATCTTTGAGGCGAAATATTGAACAGAGGATTCGTTTTTTCAATTTCACGGATATACTTTCTCAATCGTATCAGTAGGTTGACTAATGAAAACTTAGCATGATCCACCCCAATAAACTCAGCAGAACCACTTCAATATTTCGGATTTGCAATAGTACTATAATTTGTTACTGATTTAGTACTAATTTATTATCGTATTCGCAAATTTATTACTCTTCATTAAACAGAAAAAACCAACGGCTGTGCTAGCTTCATGTCAACCTAGCAGAACCATAGCTGAAAATGTAACATTTCGAAAATTTTAAGTATACCATAATTTATAACTATTTTATTACTAACTTATTACTATAATCACGAATTTTTTACTCATCATTTCAAGGAAAAAAACGACGATTTGACTATCTCGATCTCAACCAAGCAGAACCAAAACTCAAATCACATGTTTTTGAAATTCTGTAGTATCATTGATAAGTTACTAATTGATTACTAATTTATTACCACATTCGCAAATTCCTAACACTTCATTCAACAAGGAAAACCAACCTTCTTGAAATGAGGATTGACAGATCTGTGAATGTGGTAATACATTAGTAATAAAATACAAAGAGAAAAAAATCAGTTGAATTTACAAAATATAGGGTGGCCCACGAAGTTTTGGCCAGTCGATATCTCGAAAACTATTTGAACTACAATTTTGAATTTTTGTGGTTTTGAACAATGGAATGCGGTGACCATTTTTGATATAAGAGGGTTTTATTGCAACATCGCATTTCCAATCACGTGATATCAACTTCAAAATTTTAAATGGAACACCCTGTATATTATTGCATTTTTGTGAAGACCTTTCTATTGCAAATACTACGATACCATCATTGTCAGGGTTTTCATGTGAAACGGTGACAATATGAGCTGTCAAATAAAATACAGAAATGATCATAAAAACCTCTTTATCTTAACTGTAGTGCCGAAAAACCGCTGACAATTATGGTATCGTAGAATTTGTATTAGAAAGGACTTCACGAAAATGCAATAATATACATGGTGTTCCATTTGAAATTTTGAAGTTGATGTCACGTGATCGGAAATGCGATGTTGCAATAAAACCCTCTTATATCAAAAATGAACCCCACAATCCACTGTTTAAAACCACCAAATTTCAAAATTATAGTTCAAATAGTTTCCGAGATATCGACTGGCCAAAACCTCGTGGGCCACCCTGTATTTTTTCATACATCCACGACAACATCTTTTGTTAATATAGCAAAAGTCTTGTCGATTTTACAAAATTCTAATCATTGAAAATGCAAACAAACAAATAATTTGTTCAAGTAACAAAATGTTTGCTAATATACAGCTAAAAATGTTGTTATAGTAACAAAATATTTTGTCGTGGATATAGGACAAAATATGTTGCTGATTCAATCAAGTTTTTTCTCCGTCAGTGATGAATCATGAACTGAATGGAATTTCCGGAAAGTTTCAAAAATATGTCATTCGAGTATTGGTTCTGCCGCGGGTGGAGATAGAAATAGACGAATCGGCGAGAAGAGCCGTTTTTTTTTTCTGTTTAATGAAGAATTTGCGAATGTGGCAATAAACTAGTATTGATAATTCAATATAGAATTTCAAAAAACATGTCATTTGACTTTTGGTTCTGCTAGGTTTGAGATCGAGATAGACAAATAGGCGATTTTTCATTGAAATGATGACTTGATGAGTAAAAAAATCGTGAATATGGTAATAAGTTAGTAACAAACTAGAAATAGAGTATGGTATATTTGAAGTTTTCAAAATAATAACTTTTTAGCTATGGTTCTGCTAGGTTGACATGAAGCTAGCAGAACCGTCGATTTTGCCAGTTGAATTAATTATTAGAATTTTGCGAATTTCGTAATTAATTAGTAATGAATTAGTAACTCATTGATAATTCAATAGAATTTCAAAAAATACGTGATTCAAGTTTTGGTTCTGCTAGGTTGAGATCGAGGTAGACCAATAGGCGTATTTTCCTTGAAATGATGAGTAAAAAATTCGTGATTATAGTTATAAGTTAGTAATAAAATAGTTAAAAATTATGGTATATTCAAAATTCTAAAAATATTAAATTTTCAGCTATGGTTCTGCTAGGTTGACATAAAGCTAGCAGAGCCGTTGGTTTTTTCTGTTTAATGAAGAGTAATAAATTTGCGAATATGATAATGAATTAGTATTAAATTAGTAACAAATTATAGTACAATTGCAAATCCGAAATATTGAAGTGGTTCTGCTAAGTTTATTGGGGTGCATGATCCTTCCATGATACCCCTTATCTGGCGATTCCAGAGAAAATGGGCGTTTCCTAATTGGTAGCCTCCTCTTGAATTCATTTCACTGCATGGAATCTGTTATTATCAACATTCAATAACATCTGTTAACAACATAAACACACACATTTTGAACAATACGATATCCTTCATCTCCTCCAATCAATTGAAAACTCATTGCAAACATCGAATTGTTTCTTAGTGGGTAGGTAGGTTTCTTCTTATAACATCTGGATATTTATTGATGTTAATTATAATTAGGATAAGATGAAGCTCAGCATGGAAGTCAGGTCATGTAGACTATTAATTAGGTTTGCTTGTTCAACTCTAGATTTGTGACTCCGAAGCGAATTAAAATGGCATGAAAACCATACTGGCCTTCGAATCAGATGTTTTGCCCCAAAATGTCACTGCGTTTAACAAATTTTAAAGAAAAATCCAATAGCTTGTCAGTGACAATTTGTTTGAAAAAAATTTCGAAGGAAAGAACATATTGAATTATGACTTACCTTTGGACGTTTCGGGACCGAATCTGCTTCTGTTCTCAACATGAAAGAGCGAAATATTCCTCATTGGAAGTTGCATGTGCTCTGCTTATAGTTTGACACTTTTCAGTGTCATACTGATGTTGGCATATGTATGAGTGATCATCAGCAAACTATCAAAAAAAGAATAATCAAATCACTCCATTATCGAGCCAAATCAATATCATCTTACCAAAAAATTTTCAATAATGGAATCCACCACATTGAAGATGTTCTTTATCTCAACTCATATCCAAAGAAATTCATTGATAGAACGATTCATCAAATTGAAAATAAACAAAATACATCACAACAAAAACAACCATCATCAATAACGACGAATATAATACCGTACATTCCCGGCATATCTGAAAAAATGGAATGTGTTGGTGATGAGTTCCAAGTGAAAACTGTGTTCAAAACTGGAAATATAATGAGATCCATCCTAACTCAAACGAAGCCAAAAAATTAAGAAAATGTATCCAAAAATTGTACTCATAGTATACCTTGTATTTGTGGCAAGTATTATACGGGTGAAACGAAAGAACCTCTCTCACTATTGACTAATGAAGAACACAAATACAATATCGAGAAAAGACATATCAATAAATCGAAGCTATAACTGAACATATCCTCACTGGAGATGGACAACATATGGAAGAGTGGAATAATATGAAGATTATCAGAAAGGATGATAAGAACCGAAGAAAAAAAAGGAATATGCTTGCATTCTTCTGAACGGAGACAATAGCATTGCTTCCTGTTCAGTTAATAAAGATAGAACATGGTATCCACTATCGATAACTGAATATGAAGATGGTTTATTCAAGATCAATTGATGAAAACATCCTATAGTTAATTTGTAGACTAAAATCACTCATTCATATGCCAACATCAATATGACACTGAAAAGTGTCAACAAACTATCAGCAGGGCACAACTCCCAAAGAGAAATATTCAGCATTTTCATGTTGAGAACGGAAGCAGATTCGGTTCCGAAACTTATTCCAAAGATGAGTGAAAACTCGATATTTTTCCTATATATATATATATATATATATATATATATATCTTCAAAAACATTTTCTCAAACGAATTGTCACTGACAAGCTACTGGATTTTTCTTCCAGGCTCCCTGATAGAGAAATTTGTCAAACGCAGTGACATTTTGGGGCAAATCATCTGATTTGTCAACTACAAATAAATTGAAATGATACACATATTTTCATTATATAGAAACGAGGAGAGAAAATCCCAAAAAATTGAGTGGAGTGACTGTACCACCTCCTCGATTAACTCACAGACAGTTTGTCGATAGAAGTCCAGTTCGAAATAAACCATTACTCTCAAGATGGCATCCAGGATGATTTCACTGCACTGTTTGTACAGTCGAAGATCTCGGCAAGTAAATAATGTATCTACACGTCAAACGACAGTCTGACTGAACTGGAAGACCGGTACCTAATCACAATTTCTGACGTTGACGCCATCCTCATATCTTCATAATTCGTTTAACGCATGCGTTCTACGTTCTTTTATTGGAAATGTTCACAAATTTTCCTGGGGAAATCGAACCTGAATCATTTCGAAAATATTTCGACTAGTCAAACACATGTGATCAATCAATCAATATTCAAAAAATGTCTATTGTGAATGAATATTTCATGAATGTTATTGCCAGAATATGTTTCGGAATATGTTATGAGGTTATTCCAACGGATTATACTTATATCGATATCGAAATAATATATCCTCAGAAAATAATATCGAGAATGCTCACAATATATTCTGGAAGAATATTCCTGAATTATTCTGGAAATATTCAAATATTCCAGAAATATCCATAAAATATTTTGAGGAAATACCTATGGAATATTTCGAGCAATTATCTATGGCATATTCAATTCAGAGATTATGTGCATGCAACTTGAGAACGTGAGCACTGATGTGAGCCAATCGGTCGAAATCAATCTGTAGGTGATTTGGCTTTACCGGACCCTATATAACCAAGAACAAATCCACATTTAGAA